GCATGGTGAGCTCCCTGGCGAATTCTGACCATGTCTCTCCATGACGCTTCCTCCGCTCATCCAAACGGAGGTGACGGAGTTGGAGCGAAGCACTACAGGAACGTCTGCAGCCGCTGGGATGCCTGATGTCCTCCTCNTTAACAGTCCGACGGCGTCGAAGCCTGGCGATGAACTGAAAGTAGAAAAAACCGCCAGAGGCCGAGCACCTGGCCGCGTCTGCGGAATCTACGGGTGTTGCTAATCCCCCGGGCGGTGAGGGATCGGTGCACGTGATACAGTTGATCCGTATATCTTCCAAAAGTCATTACTGCACCGGATTAAAATTCGACTCCAACTACCTCCAACTGCTAACTCCTATAACACTAAAATATGTATATTCGGAGCGCTATTATTAATGGGCAGTTGTGATCCGACAAAAACTAAGTCTATGGTGTGGGGACAGATATCATGCAGGGCCCGGTAGTGGCCGCCGACGGCACAACGCCACTCGTGTGAAACTATTTTGAAAAAAAAAAATCTCTGCAGGGACACCATAGGAGCAACAATTATACGCGCAGAGATGAAACCTGGGGGTGGGTGCGCTTCAACTCCCACATTATTGGTAGTTATGTGCCATGCGAAGTCAAAATGCTAGGGGCATCACAAGCGATTGTTTATTCGCTCGCGATCGCGGCGATTAAACGCCAGAGAATTAATCGTCCCCGAATTCAGCCGAAGGGGCTAACTACTTAGCGAATTTATCACCGACAACGAAGGCACACGTAGCGATATTTGAGATGCGTACGCGTTACGCTCACTCACAGAATTTTAGAAATCTTTGCAGCATCTTTTTGTACAGTTAGTGCTGCATAATGCTTTTGTAGATCGACTTTACTCTTTAGGCTTGCATTAATAAGTTTGAATTGTTATTTAATTGTAAGTGACAGCCAAGCCGGTCAATAAAATGAACTACTTAGCCATTCTATCTGCTAAAGTCCTCAAGCGTCTATTCTGTAATAGGCGACCTCCATTCGGCTAACTATCGATCCCGGTATTTCAGGGATCGTAATTTCAAAGACAGGCATGGCGCTTGTCCGACCAGCAGAAATTACCGAATTCCCTTCCGCTTTTCGCGTAGTCCACACTCTACTAGTAATTGGATGGCATGCCATTTTAACATGCACATGATATCAACACACGTCGCGATTTGTTTAGAAAATCGATCGGCGATCAAATACGCGGTGCACTGGGCAGCACGAGCGATAATTAATCGCCCGGCGTATATAATCGGCCGCGAAAATCTCTAACATTTTTGATACGGGCGATTCGATTGGCGATTAAAATCGCGTCGACCGGTGAAACGGGCAGCACGGGCGATCTTGAATTTTAGAGCGATTTGTAAATTCGGGCTGGGTCGATCGGGAGCGATAAAAAATCGCTGCGTGTGCCCGTGCGTATGCCTAAAGGGGGCTCTGGAACGTAACTCAGACCTGAAAATGGGTGCTCTGGAACTTAATGTTTTGTTGAATGTGTATGCTCTGGAACTGGCTATGTTCGAAATGGAAGGTCCTCCGGAACGAGGGATTCGTTGAAATTAAATGCTATGACCACCGGACTACGTGGTTTAAAAGAGGGGATGTTCGCAGGAACTGTGGGGAAACAGTGATTTGCTTACAATCTATTCTGGTAGCACTTGAACGCAATAATTTGTTGGTATTTATGTAGAGGAGAAAAAACATGACCCGAGAGAGATACGCAAGTCCACGCTACACACACGCACTATACACACACACACACACACACACATCCACACTCACATCACGACACACACACTACGCGCACACACACACATGCACCACACACCCACACAACACACCACACACAGTTCCAACACACACAGCAGAGAGATGAGACACCAACACGCAGCGCACGCCACAACATACAACAACACAGATAGCAGTTCATGCATGCCTTGACGGCCCGCTTCAACGATAATCTGAAGTACGATGCACTGGAACGGAATATATTAAAAACTAGGGCTCCGGAACGGCAAAAATGTAAGAATCTGGCACTAATTAAACTAAACTTATGTGCTCTGGAACGAGATATTCTTTTAAAAAATGCGATGCACTGCGATCTGAGTGCACTGGAACGGAAGTTTATGGTTAGGGTTGAAAAATGGGGGTCTCTCCCTGCCGGCACATACTTACAGCAACAGAGGCGCCGGAAGTGGGGGGGGGGCAGGGAGCGGCCGCCCCTCCAATCCCAAAAGTGGGGGGGGGCAAAACAAAAAGCCCCCCCCAAAAGAAGTAGTGAAATAAAAATAAAATGTATGAAGCTATAGACTTGTTAATTCTAAGACGTTCAAAAAGCTAATTTATACATTCATGTTTTAGTTTTCCCGCTGCGCCTTTGCGTGATTTGACACTCACGTCGCACACACGCGTTCATGCACACGACGCCGCCACATACTGCGCTCACGCAGCACCACTATACGCACACACGCCGCACTCACGTGGCTCAACACGCAACAACACGCCGCAATCACATGATCCGCTCAAAACTGCACCAACGACGTCGCTCACAACACACATGTCGCATCAACGATGGCGCTCACGCACACATGTCGCACACACGCGCTCCACGCTACAACGACATCGCGCACACAACTTCACACGACACCGCGCTCTACTGCACACACGCCGTCACACACTCGCTTCATCGCACTGACACGTCACATCACACGCCCGCGCTCTGTACGCACCGAGCTACGTCACACACACGTCACACACGTCGCACATCACGCGCTCGACCATACACTTCACAGCACAACGCGCTGCACGCACTACACGTGCGTCGCACAGCAACCGCTCAACGCACAGTTCTGATCCGCGCCCACATCGCACAACAGACGCGCTCATGACAGCACGCCACATCGCACACACGCGCGTCTAACGCACTACACCCGCACATCAGCCCCTACTCATGTTGCTTTGCGATCTCCTTCTGGCGCGCTTCACGCACCACCAATACGTCACACACATGCGCGTCGCGCAACACGGATTCGGTACCATGTATAGTTCTTCGCTCGCGCCAACAGCACACTACCCGCTCAGCACACACGCGTCTACGCACTACTACGTCGGCACATTCGCGCTCACTGCAACACGACGTCACCACATGCGCTCACGCACCACGCACGCACACACGCGCTCACAGGCACACACGTCGCACATAACCCTCCCAGCACACACGTCATCACACATGCGCTCAGCGCACACACGCGCTCACAGCACACCACGTGCGCGCACACGGGAACGCGCCACGCACGCACTGTCGCACGCGACCGCTCAACCACACACGTCGCGGCACATAAGACACTGCGCTCCGACGCCACACGTCGCGCACGGACGCGCTCACGCACGACCACGATAAAAAAAATTGGAGCCCGCCTTAGGTCTCCCCCCCCCCGCCCCAATCCCAAAAAAAAAAAAAATCTTGGGCTTCGGCGCGCTCTGCTACATGCAATTATATATTGGAGTGCGCCCCCCCCCCCCCCCGACCCAGCACGCCCCAGTTAAGGCTCGACAATGCAATGGTCATGCCAAACTGCATGCAGCGCCCCCTTCCCACACTCAGGATATAGCCTGGATATATGATATAGCCTGGATATAGGATATAGTAGATTGAGCCTATGATCGAGAGCGCCATCTGTCGTGGAGTTTGTGGTCATGCATGTGCACCGAGACATATGTTAGACAAGGTAGATGAACAGGATGTAATTTCAGAATTTGTAAGTTGCCATCCAGGCGTTACATCCAAGTTATCTGACTGCATGGACTGTCTGGTATTAAGTACTATTAACACTGATCAATTAGAGGTGTTATATCAGTGCTCTAAGATTTGGAATGTGTATTTAATATGACAATGTACCCATTCAAATTCAAACTTCAAAACATACAGATGTACATAGTGAAAGTATAAATGCATATTGAAAATAGGCTTATTTTTCATAATTATGTACTGATAGTATATACAATTTTGTAAATAATGTTTTATTAGTTATCATACTCATAATATATATTTTAGATACTTTAGTCAAAGCATCAGCTTTAGCTACATTCCTTTTTGACATTTACAAATTGACCTTTTAAAATGATCAGAATTGGTTGCTTTCAACATAGCCTAAAAATGCAGGAAATGCCATTTCCAGGCTCTACATTTCAAAATTTTTCTGGGGGAGTACCCCCATAACCCCCGCATCGGCTACATATTTCTGTCTGCAGTGGCACTTTTCGGGAGGCCACTACGGCCCTGTATCATGATGCAAAAACTCTAACCCTAACCCTAACCCTAACCCTAACCCTAACCTAATACTAATACTAATACTAATCATATTAATCCTAATACTAGTGCTGCCACGTTGCGGTGTCCCTCCACGCCCGGGGGATAGCATTACCCAATTTCTAACGCTACTAGCTGCCGACTATGTACTAGCATAGCGATGAGTTTCTGTGCTAAATAAACTAGCAGAGTCTCTAATCGAGCAAACAACTCAATTATATATACGTGTATATATATATATATAATAATTAATGTGCAAGTTTCACACTTGACGACTTTGTTTGTGTATTCCTTATATTTTTCCTCAGCTATGTGCAAAATTTCAGGTAGTTGCCAGATGGTGGTCACAAAATTCAATAAATAGAGCTCTTTTGGCTTGTTGCATTGCGGTCTATGTGGCTGTGCTCTCAGTCTCAGCCACACTGACTTACATTCACACTCACCGGTTTGATCATGTTCATGATGTTGATTAAGTACAAAATGAGACGAACTACCTCCGTCGGTTTCAATTCACCTTACATTTTAAGTTGACAATAAGTATCAGGATTTAAATACTTACTTGTGCACGATAATTTTAAAATTCACAGACTTCAGTAGGTTATCATGGATGATGGAAAATATACACAAGAAAACGCAGGAGTTTGCTTCAACATATGAACAGCTTAATAGATGGCAGCACTATATGTGACGTCACCATAAGAGAAAGGCGAAAATGGCGTCGCACATAACGAATTCTAGGAGACAAACTATTACTAACATCAATAATTCTTAATTTGTGTTGTGAACTATCGGTTATCTATTCAACTAATTAGAAGAGGACACTCGTAACAAGCTGGAATTAAAAGTAATCGTGTACGTTGTGTATTATACAGGGTTTTTTCGTACGCATTAACAAATGTTACGTCTTTTGGGTCTCTGACACCGATTCTGACAGTGACACTCGTTCTTGTGCTATGATTTTAGACGGGGTTAGACCGTTAGACACAAGTTATTTTCGTTCTTGTATTAGTTATGTACTACCACTGAGTCTGTTGAATTGTCTAGTAGTAGATTATGGCTCGGCAGCGGCGTATCAAAGTTTGAAGTCAATTGATTAACACTAACAGTCTAGAAAATTTTGCGAGATGAGCATGGAAGTTCTTAATCCTATTCCTATTTTTTAATATTGCATTATTCATTGGTTTGATGCCATACCCCAAATGTTTCATTCAATTCGTATATCTAGTGTGGTCTATAATGGTAAGTATTATAACACAACCCAGCAAGTCCTGTTTCACGACACAGCCATCGCAGAGTCACTGAAAACCTTTTTCTTTGCATTGACTGATTGACCAGGCAGCATAGTTTTACTTTTAGCCATAGGATTAGGACAATTACATTTTGCATAGCAGTTTTATAGTTCGGGTTTTTGTTGTCCACAAAAATATTATTGTATATGCACAGGCCTTATGTTTAAATGATATTGTTTCACACATGTTCTTTTACAGTCTAATTATTTATGCTGGTTTGACAATTTATAAATTACTTAATACCCATGTCCTCGCCAAAAGCGTCGGACCGTTGGACAAAACCGGTAATTTTTGCACGGGTCCGACAATAAATTTGGCTTTACCAGACCGTGTGTGCGGTAACATTATATCAAGTAATTACACAGAGGCTACGGGTACGGCAGTACCACCCACTATGCCTAACTCTAAACCGACTCGGCTATCTTATATACGCGTGTACCAAATTAATCTATGGTGTGGGAAAGCGATAGGAAGAGATTGGCTGTTATATGATAAAAGATAAGAAAATGATGACATGCGACGTGTGTGTGAACTATCATGGGAAGTTTGTAGGTTTAAGCTTGGAGGACAGAATTATTTTATTAAAGGATGCAATAACTTTAAGAAGTCAAGTATTACTGACCATGAGCAGAGTAAATATCATGTGAAAGCTATGGAATTAAGGAAGGCAGCTACAAGCAGCCAACATGATATTGCTATGTTAAGGGCTGGCCGAGCTTTGCAAGCAGTCAAGGCAGCTGACCGACAGAAACTAGGTTATTTATTCAGAAATGCTCATGCCACTGCTAAACGGAGCAGACCATTGACTGATTATACCTGGATCACACAACTGGACAAGGCCAAAGGCCTAGAAATAGGTGAAACCTACATTAATGACAAAGCTGGCCTCAAGTTTATCGAATGCATTGCTGATTGTACGCGTCACGAAATGGATGAAAAAATAAACGATGCTAGCTTTTTCAGCTTGATCATGGATGGGTCAACAGGCATAGCTGGTGATGAGCAGGAAAGCATATATGTTAGATATGTCCACAAAGAAAAAGCAACAGAGATGTGAATGTGTTTTAATGTTTCAATATTTTTTTGGTCCAGTAACAATACTAACATATCATTCGGTCTGGTAAAAATCTATTTTTTACTGGACCGAATGTCCAGTAAAGGATTTTGTCTTTTAGCGAGGACTGCATGGGGTTTTTCAGTGGCTCTGTGATACTATGCTAGGAAGCAGGATTGTGGGCATGACGTCAAACCTCTACAGCACCTCTATTGCAAATTTTTTGCATGATCTAAATTCTGTAACTTGTATTTGTTTAATGCATTTAGCCATGCCGGCTCAAAAATCATGCTATGCACAGTCTTCCATATAGTATTCCATTGCTTCATATTATCAATATTATACAATTTTGGAATTGTTTCATACAAACAGAAAACTCAAAAGTTGAAATTGATGTGGAAAAGCACCTAATAATTTCGGGATGGGATGGATCAATTCTTCAGTGCCACAACTAACGCTACTTGTACTCTCTGCAGCTTGCAGGTGTGGAATGGCCTCATGATATGGGGAGACGCAGAGCCGTGCATAGGGTAGATCTGAACACTGCTAGTGACATACAGCTTCGTACACTCAGTGGAGTGGGACCAGCAAGAGCTCAGGCCATCATTAAGGCCAGAAAGGTATGTATAGATTGAGGCCAGGCTTTTTCTTATTTGCGGTGTTCTGATCTAAGCAATTTAGGGTGGATGGGTTAGTGGACCACGTAATAGCATATTGCGTTATTGTATAAGTTAAGGCACTAATTAATAATTTTAAAACAATGTATTTTTTGAATGTCATGAGATTTTTGAGGGTTTTGTCAGGTCATCATGGCAATCATTAGTTAGTGGTGTGTATTAGCAAACATTAGCTAACAAATATTCTTCAGCAGCATGCCTTATCGCTAGATAATGAACAACTATATATTCAGATCTCTGACGGATCACAGAATATTGATACAGTCACTAGCTTCATGGAAACTATGCAGCTGTCTGAGCATAAACTGTCATGGATTTTGTTTTGAGGGTATAACTATAAACCTTATTTATATTATCCACGTTGAATTATGGGGTTTTACAGCACTTCGCTTGCTTGGTAATAAATGGTTAGTGGAAACTGGCCATTTATATGCAGGTTGTCAGGAGTGACAAAAATACAAGAGGCAAATTTTCAAAATTGCATTGTATATGGCATTTTCAGAGATTATTTTCAGCTTTTTAAAAGCTGAAAAATTGCAATGTCATTGCACTTCGCCATATTCGAACAGTTGATGTTTTTATACTTGGCCATACTTGCGTGTGATATTGAGATAATGGTCTGCTTCACTCCGTAATGATGACACTGACAGTGTACATAATGCTGGCACCCATATTAAAATTTTATAAAAAGAAGATAACCGAGTATGACTGTGTGGTGTTATTAAAAATTCAATGTTAAAATTCATTAAAAAGGCATTAAGAAATATAATTTCATGGTGTTCACAAGAGAGATCGAGATAATAACAAGGATTGAAATATTTTCAACTGAGGGATCATGATGATGACTAGAATTGGAATGAGTTTCAATTGTGGTTTTTATTCTGCACGTGACGGACAGAAATGATGATTTGTAGACCTGTACAAGTTCGTGTGACCTAGAAACGTTAAAGCAACAGTTTTAGTATTAAATGATTGAGTAGAAAATAAAATATGTGTATGAATATAAGTTAGTCGAATGATAGGTTTGTGATATCACAGTACAAGCGGACTTGAGGCAAGGTTGACCCAATTGTCTGCTAATTTTTTTGTAGTATCACAGAAAAGGTTTTACATTTTTTAATTCCAAACTCATTTAACTGTCTCAAGTGCCTCTCAAAATCTACTGTCTATTTTTAATTACAGTTCAGGATGTCCAAAAGCTCTGGCATTTGTTGTATTTCTACTTGTTAATTATACAACAACTGATGTTGAGTAATTTTGGAGTAGTGTGGATATAACATATTACTACTAGTACTAGTACTTGGAAATACTTTAATTACCAGTTCCTATTATTTAGATTTTCTATTAAAACACCATGAGCGTTCTGTAACGTAGTTCCATGAAACTGACTGGTCGTAAAACGATATGGTGTGTCATCCGACCAAATGTCCTGAGGCTTCCTTCGTACCGCGCAACTGAGTGTCGTGTGACTTAAGTGGACCAGTACTGACTGCTACACATTATTGCATCGCACAGCTGAGTGTTTCGTGATGGAGTGTCATCATGTATGTGTATAAATAATTACAGTTTTTTGTCGCGAGACTCGGGTGACGAGGGAGTGGGTGATGATGCTAGGCCCAGTGTTGTGAAATAGAGGTCGTGCAAACGGCAGTAGTGAAAGTGTTAAGGCCTAAGATAAAATATTGCTTGTTTCCCCTTTACCGACCGACTCGCCAAAACGCCGCTACTCGACACATTTTATTGGCCGATTAAAACAAAACAAAAATTATTTTTTCTCCAAAAAAAAAAATTCTAATTCGTTCTGCAAAAACATATACACAAAACAGAATATACAATATACATACACACATCTTGTCAAAACAAAATAAAAAAGATATTTCACTTACCTATCTACTCGATACCCTGAGAGACGCGAGTAGGTAAAGGGGAAACAAACAATTTTTTAAGGGTGGCCTAATGCTGTTTTGTGATGGGGAGTGCCGCGCAACTGTCAATGGCATGTGAGTGAGTGTTCCGGGACCAGCTCTCGTGTGAATGAGTGTACTGGGACTAGGTGCTCTCTACCCTGTGAGTCTGTGACTGATTTAACTGAATCTGGGTACCGTGTGAGTTGGGTGATACTCCATTAGCAGTGTTCCCAACTTTAATGTCATTAACAGTCAGAATAACATATAATATATGGTCATGGTCATATATATTAGTTTGTGGTTTAATATCATTTAGGTTAGGGTTAGAGTTAGGATTATTAATCATTAATCATTATTGTTATCAAAGTTGGGAACACTCCTAATGGAGCGTTAGCCTGTGAGTGAGTGTTCTGAGACTAGCTGTCGTGTGAGTGTTCTGTAACATGGCTAACAATAAGGACTAGCTGACAGGGACTAGTAAATGTTGTAAGAATAGGTGACAGGGACTAATATAATATAGGTGTTGGTGGACTGTGTGATAGGGACTAGGTGATACAGGACTGTGTGACAGTGACTAAATGTTTTAGCACTGCGTGATGCAGGACTGTATAACATGGACTAAGTGTTGTAGGACTGTCTGACAGCGACTAGGTGATGCAGGAGAGGACCGCATGACAGGGACTAAGTGTTTCAGGACTGCGTTCCTAAGCTGTCTAACTAAATGTCGTGCGACTGAGTTCCCTATACCCGTGGGCTATCAATAAACTAGTATAGACTGAATGCTGTGGAATGAAATGTTACGGGGGTGGCTGATCTAGGACCAAGTACCATGAGCAACCAGTGTGTTGGGGGGAGGAGGGGGGCAGTGGAGCTGTTGAACGTGATTATCCATGTTCAAATCATCGATAATCGATATCTCTGCTAGGCACCCGGAAAGCAGAGCCTGCATCGTTTATTCTGCCCCTGCAAACACGCCAGCGCCGTGCTGTTGACTTTACTACGCGCATTGCAAACAGTCCGACGCGTCGAAAGCCTAGCGGATGAACTGAAGTAGAAAAAACTCGCCAGAGGCCAGCACCGCCGCGTCTGCGGAATTTCTACGGGTGTTGCTATCCCCCGGGCGTGGAGGGACGGTCACGTGATACAGTTGACGTATACTTCAAAACTTAAGGGTGTTGCTATCCCCCGGGCGTGGAGGGACGGTCACGTGATACAGTTGACGTATACTTCAAAATCATTACTCATCCGGTAAACCTGACTCCAACACCTCCAACGCTAACCCTAACACTAAATATGTATATCTCGGAGCGCTATATATAGGCAGTGTGATCCACAAAAACTAATCTATGGTGTGGGGACAGATATCATCAGGGCCGTAGTGGCCGCCACGGCAGCACGGCACTGCCGTGAAACTATTTTGAAGAAAAAAAAATTCTGCAGGGAACCAAGGAGCAACATATACCAAGGAGATGAAACCTGGGGGTGGGGGCACTCACCCCACATTATGGTAGGTATGTGCCACTGCGAAGTCAAATGCTAGGGGCACACAAGCGATTTTTATCGCCCGATCGCGGCGATTAAAATCGCCAGCGAACTTAATCGCCCGATCACGAAGGGGCACACGTAGTGAATTTAATCGCCCGATCACGAAGGGGCACACGTAGTGAATTTAATCACCCGATCACGAAGGGGCACACGTAGCGAATTTGAGAGCGTACGCGTACGCCACTCGACAGAATTTTAGAATTCTTGCAGATCTTTTTTAACAGTAGTGCTGCATAATGCTTTGTAGACACTTTACTCTTTAGGCTTTAGCATTAATAAAGTTTTGAATTGTATTTAATTGTAAGTGACACAAGCCGGCAATAAAATGACTACTTACCATTCATTGCAAGTCTCAGCGCTATTTCTGTAATAGCGACCTCCTTCGCTACACGATCCCGGTATTCAGGGATCGTAATGTCAAAAAAGGCATGGCCTTTCGCGACCACAGAAATACCAATTCGCCTTCCTTTTCGCGAGTCACACTTCTACAGTATTGGAGGCAGCCATTTTAACATCACATGATATCAACAAACGTCCGATTGGTTTAGAAAAATCGATCGGCGACAAAATACGCCGGTCACGGGCACACGAGCGATAATAATCGCCCGCGTAAATAATCGCCCGAAAATATCTAACATTTTGGATACGGGCGATTCGATTGGGCGATTAAAATCGGCGTCGACGTGAACGGGCACACGGGCGAATTTTTCGAGCGATTTTAAAATTCGCGGCGATCGGGCGATAAAAATCGCTCGTGTGCCCCTACCTAAAGGGGGCTCTGGAACTAACTCAGACCTGAAAATGGGTCTCTGGAACTAATGTTTGTTGAATGTGGTATGCTCTGGAACTGGCTATGTTCGAAAATGGAGGTCTCCGGAACGAGGATTTCGTTGAAATTAAATGCTATGACACCGGACACGTTTAAAAGAGGGGATGTCCGGAACTGTGGGGGAAACAGTGATTTGCTTTAAAATCTATGCTGTAGCACTTGAACCAATAATTGTTGTATTATGTAGAGGAGAAAAAACATGACCCGGAGAGAGATGAACGCAAGCACACGCACACACACGCACATACACACACACACACACACACACACACACACACACACCACACACACACACCACACACACACACACACACACACACACAACACACACACACACACACACACACAGAGAGACAACACACGCACGCACGCACACATACAACACACACACGTTGCATGCATGCCTTGACGGCCCGCTTCAACGTATTCTGAAGTACGATGCACTGGAACGGAAATATTAAAAACTAGGGTCTCCGGAACGGCAAAAATGTAAGATCTGCATAATAACTAAACTTAATGCTCTGGAACGAGATATTCTTAAAAATGCGATGCACTGCGATCGATGCACTGGAACGGAAGTTTATGGTTAGGGTTGAAAATGGGGGTCTCTCCCGCGGCACATACTTACCATGCAACAGAGGCGCCGGAAGTGGGGGGGGGCA